TGTGTGTGTGTGTGTGTGTGTGTGTGTGTGTGTGTGTGTGTGTGTGTGTGTGAAGTACTATAAGCTTGTTTCTAATACTCGCAGTCGCATATACGTGAGTATGTGTGTGCATGTAGTATGTATGTATGTGCTTGTGTATGCACACAATATTCTCATAAGTATGCATCAGTACATATACATATATATATAATATATATATGTTATATATATTTAAAAACCATTCTTGTATTCAGCTATTCTTCTTCTTCTTGTATACATTTTCTAATGGGGCATTTCATGTTTATATCTCATTTAAATACTATTATTATTATTATTATTATTTTTAATTTTTTATTAGTTGAACAAATAATTGTTGATTATGACGAAATAATTATGCAATTCTTCTTCATGTTTTTTGAGTATAATTTTAATATTTTGTTCTTTATTGGATTAGAAATGACAACAATGTAGCGCAAGTTTTTCCTTTTCTTTTCTTATCTTATCTTTTCTTTAATTTTATGCAATTTGGTAACAATATTTAGTATTGACGTTTTGGTTTTTGTCAGTTTGTTTGGGCTATAAGCATACATTCACAATATTCGCATAGGGTATACATACAATATATAGAGAGAGATAATGCCGTTTATCTGTTATCTGAATATAGTACACAAAAAACAAACAGCTAAAATCTGATAACGAAGCTGCTGCAAAGGCATTCACAATTCTAGTTACACCGAAACAAATAGTTTAACATGTATCTGATAGATACTTTGGTTCAACATGTATCTGATAGACACTCTGGCTCTGCATCTCGTTGTGCAACTGTTTTGTAAATATTCCTTGAGGTGTTGGTGTTGGAGGAGGAGGAGGAGCAGGAGGGGGGTATTTATAATACAGCGATATGCCTTTTAATTAATTTCTCAATTGAAACTCTGCAAATTACGAGCAATTTCACATAATTGTTTTTAGTTTTTCGTTTTTGTTTTTTTAATTTTCAGCATTACGTTTTAGCTATACAAAATTGTTTATCATTTTTTACATGCATGTATATATTCTATATGTATATATATATATATATTTAATAATATTTATATCTCAAAGTCAGCTGGCATTCACAAAAAAGAATTGATCGATTCTCGTTTAGTAGAAATTCAAATTATTTAAGCTGAAGAAATTGTTTATTTCGTGTGCATATCAAAAATTCAAGTTCAGTTAAGTTTAGTTTAATTTGTAATTCATTTAAATTAAATGCACCAATATCTGTGTCTGTGTCTGTGTGTGTGTGTTTGTGTGTGTGGTTTTGTTGCACTGTGCAGTCAACGCACGGTGGGTTACAATTCGTCAATTTGCAATTGAAAAATGCTGAAAATATTGATAGCAAAAAAACAAATCAGAAAAAGTTTTTTTTGTGCGTTGAGAAAGTAAAGGCAGTCTCTCGGTTTACGCTAGATCTGACAGAATATATATACACTATATATACAAATACATATCTATATATATGTATGCATATAGTGCATATCTAGATCCAGTTAAAATCACGCTCGAACTGTTCTACACAAATAAATTCGCTTCGAAATGAACATTTTGAGCAAGTAAAACAAAAGTGAAAAGTTTTGGATGCCGTTTCATTTAGAGTTCTTCTTCTTTTTTTTGCTTTAGTTTTCTCATATGGTATATGTATATTTATATATGTATAATATTTAATTTCATTTATAATACGCAACACATTAAAATTGTTTAATTTCACTACATAAATACATACATACATAATAATAATTATAATAATGAACTTCATCATCGACTATAGCCTTGCCCATTAATGCATATACAACGCGTACAGTTGTGTTTGTGTGTGTGTGTGTGTGTGAAAACTAGTTAGTTCATAATGAATATATAGTATATATATGTATATGTATATGTATATGTATGTAAGTGTTTGCATTTTATGTTTAATTTCACCAATCCGCTAGCTTTGTGCGTTAATGCTGCAATTTTCTTTCAATTCTCATTTACTGACTGATTTTTCCAAGCTGCCAGCGTATGTACATAGAAAATTCATAAATGAAACACACTAGATAAAGGAAAGATCGTCTAAATACTGCTGAGTTCGAGTTTTATGTTTTTAGAGTACAGCGAAAAGGAAATGGGAAAAATCTTGGAAAATATATATTTATTTATATATTCATATATATATATATATATGTATATAGCACAAAATTGTGCATATTTAATTAGTGCCCAATTCTATGCCGCTTAGACATGAGTTATTGTTATCGTTAACATTATCATTATCGTTTATCGGTATCGTTTATCGACTCGTTTTCTTTACACACAACACATTGACAAATTAGCAACATTTCTCAGTAAGCACATTGAAAGTATGTAAACATGTTAATTCTTGTTTATTTGGTTTTCTCCGTTGAAAACGAACTCCCCTCAACTTCCTCATTTCAAATACACAATCTCAACAAATATGCTGCAAACACTGTTATAGTTCAAATACATGCAAATCAATGGTAAATATATATGTTGGTATATACATATATAGATATATATATATGGGTGTTACTCTTCTATTCATTTCCTCTATAAGTTTTTGCATCTCATTTGCTGCGCTACCCAAACTTTTTTTGTTCAAATTGTAACTGTACTGCGTGTATAGGTGTGTGTGTGTGGGTGTCTATGTGTGTGTAGGCTAGTTAGTTACTTCATTTTGTTTTTTGTCTATAACATTCGACTAATTGTCTCCGTTTAACAATTACAATTGGCATTGGGCGTGCCCTGCGGCTGATCCGTCAAGCGCTGTCCCTTCTGGTTGCCGCCGACTAACGTTGGATCTGCATCTAAGCTCTCGGACATCTTGTCGCATATAATATCCACCAGACGCTCGAAGACAGCCTGTGGTACAGTGGATCGGGATCAGTATATCCATATATCTGATATAATATGCGCACTTACCTTAACATTCACATTCTCCTTGGCCGACGTCTCAAAGAACTCAACGCCCAGCTGATCGGCCAATTGACGACCGCGCTCGAAGCTTATCACGCGCTGGTCCTCCATGTCGCATTTGTTGCCCACCAATATGACCTGAGCGTTGTCCCACGAGTACGTCTTGATTTGTGTCACCCTGAAAAAAAGAAAATTACCCCTATCAGCATATCAATTCATTAAACGCACACACACACACAGACGCACCAGTCCTGCACAGAGTTGAAGCTGTCCTCGTTGGTGACATCATACATCAGAATGAAACCCATGGCGCCGCGGTAGTAGGCTGTGGTTATGGTGCGGTAACGCTCCTGCCCAGCCGTATCCTGTTGCCCAGAAGGACACACGCACACACACACACAGAACATAGACATAGACACAGAGAGGAAAGCAAACGTTATGGTCAGTGAGGTAAGGTCTATGTGTTACATTTACATGTCATGTGCATAAAACGCAAACGCAAACGCAATTAGTGCTGCCCACACACATCACACACACACACACACACACACATTAATGTATGCACATAGCTGTGGTCGTGTGGGAACACTTCGCCGTGCGCTCACCTGTAAAACTTGTTGCCCCTGCAACGAGGCAGTCGCTCAATGACATTGATGCCAAAATAGACACAGCTCTCGGCAATCAATAGAGCTGCCCCTCTCTCTCTCTCTGTCTACCTCCCTCTCTCTTTCTCCCTCTCTCTGCCTTGTTCTTCCTATCTTTATCTGTGTTAATTGTGAGCCAACTTGTCGCATTAGCAACTGTGCCACATTTACTTTTGTGTTTGGCCCGCATAAGTATGCAACACTTTTTCATACATTGACTTTCAATTGGAAGCCCATTTTGATTTTCAAATAATTCAGGGTATGGCTTAAAAAGAGAATGTCTCTGTAAGGATTTTCAATTAGCAATTAGCTAAATAATTGCTGAATAGCTGCATAACTGAATAACTGAATAGCTTGAATAGCTGAATAGCTACGAATACATACATATATATGTATGTATGGCTGTGTGTGTGGGCGCTTTTCGCTTTTCATATTTAATTGTATGCGATTCAGCTGAGAGATCTTTGCGCCTTTTTAGTGCCTTTCATCTAGCTCAGAGCTAAACTAACTAATTGGACTGCACGCTTAAATATTTATAGAAATTGCCTTTTGATAAGTGCGGAACAGTTGATAAGAAGTTTTCTACTGATTTTCGTCTGTAACGAAACTGAGGTCAATTAATAATTATAACTAAGCTCCATTGAGCGTGAGAAATAGCGAGGGAAATTAAGTTTTAAGAGTAAGATTTAAGCTAAGAATAATTCTTATGATAAATCTAAGATTCCTTGCCAAGATTGGTACGGTTAAGGTAGGTGGGTTTGTCTTAGTAAATAATCCAAGCTCAAATAGGCAATATACTAAGTAAATGCGCCATGTCTCAAAAGCTTACTTCCTTGTTAACCCTCATAACAATTCAGTCAAATCTAATACTTCCGTTCCAGCCATTTGATCCATGAATAAATAAATAATAAAGAGAATAAAGCCTATAGCTTAGTAGGACTTTGTCTAACATAGATAAATATGAGAGATCTGAATGTAGTACGCTTATAATATCAGTTAGATTCCTTTTACGTCTATTTATCTAATATATTAAGGAACCAGAATATACGATAGTCAAAACAGAGCTGGCTGAAGACAAAGATTAGCTTAAAGAGCTGGTCCACTCCTGAATAGCCTCAATGCCATCAGAACCAAAATGAGCTACACTAATTGCGTTTGCTTTTAATAAAAAAAAGACTTAGGTTAATCAGTTTTCGCTTCCTGCTGGACTTACCCAAATCTGCAGCTTGACGCGCTTGTCGTGGCGGAAGACGGTCTTCACCTTGAAGTCAATGCCCACGGTGGAGACAAACGCCGATGTGAAGCTATCGTCCGCGTAGCGAAAGAGAAAACTTGTCTTGCCCACACTGGAGTTGCCGATGATGAGGAGCTTGAACATGTAGTCGAAATTCTGATCGGCCGCATCCTTCTGCCACTTGGGATCCCCGCCGCCTGCCATAATTGCGTGCTGTAAGGGATTCAGATGTGTTCAGTTGGATCAGCTTAGCCTGGAATTTGTTACAGCAAAACTCGAATGTCGAGAGAAACATTATTCGCAGCGACAGTTTAACACTAGCAACAATTGCTGCTCGACTTCAGTTCAAATATATATATATATATACATATATACATATATGTCTATATATGTATGTACATATACATATATATTCATATATATATATGTAGAAAAAACTCCATTCTCTATTCAAAATCAGTCTGAATTTAAATTAAATTTCTGAGCACCGCCCATTGGTGTTTCGCTTCTTGTTTTTGCTCGTTTTTTATCGTTTTGAATTTCGCTTTCTGTACACCATTCGGAGATTTGGACCCGGAGACGACCATGTTCGATACCACGCTGGGCATGCTGGTCAGTTGGCTGGCCCAGGGCATTGGCCTGCTGCTCGGCCAGGCCTGGCAGCATCCGCTGATAGCCACCGGCGTCTGTCTGCTGCTCAGCTTCTTCAATCAGGCGGACGAGCAGCTGCGCAAGGAACTGGGCGAGGAGCTGCGCGAACGTTTCCAGAGCTTCAGCAGACTCTATCCCTTCTCACATTGGTGGCGCAATGGCGTCAAGGGCGTGGCCGGCAGCTTTGACTATACCATGATGCACGGGCCGCACACCTGGACCCAGTCGGTGATCAATCAGAGTCCGGTCAACATTGACGAGCAGGTGGTGCAGCGTCTGGCCATACGCGAGCTGCTCAACTGGAATCACTACGACGAGCTGCCCGCCAGCATTGTGCTGGAGAACACCGGACAGACGCTCCTGCTGCGCGCCCAGTTTCGCAGCAATGTGCCGACCATCAGCGGTGCCGATCTGCTGGCCAGCTACACCTTTGTGGAGCTCTGCTTCCACTGGGGCTGGTCGAACAGCGAGGGCTCCGAGCACACGCTCAATCATCGCAAGTTTCCGCTCGAGATGCAGGTGCTGCATCGCACCGGGGCCTCGGTGCGTCGCAACAGCACGAGCAGCTACGATCTGCTGATGATCGCCTACGTCTTTGAGCTGTCCGCCCACAATCCGTTTCTGGATCCACTCATGCAGAACCTGAAGCTGGTGCAGCAGCCCGGCAAGCGTGTGCACGTCCCGCCCTTTCCGCTCTCCTATCTGATCTATCCGTTTCGCACGGGCTTCTACAGCTACGGTGGTTCGCTGACACAGCCGCCGTGCTACCAGGGCACCGAGTGGTTCATCTTTCCGGAGTCGCTGGCCATCAGCGACTTTCAGCTGCGTCACTTTCGCCAGCTGCTCAGCGCCGACGGCGTCACGCCCATTTCGCGCAACTCACGCCCCGTGCAGCAGCTGGGCAACCGGATCATCAATCTGAACTACTTCTGTCCATACGATGCCAGCCAGCTGGCGCGCATGCGCATCGAGGTGCTGCAACAGCAGCAGCAGGAGCTGGACGAGGAGCAGGCGCAGTCGCAGTCGCAGCAGGACCAACAGCAGCAGCTGCTACTGCAGCAGCAACAGCAGCAGCAACAACAGCTGCTGCAGCAAGCGGTCAAGGTGCACGAAATTAAGGCCACTGTAATTCCCAACTCGGACGATGAGGGGCAGCTGATCGAGACGCTGGACACCACCACCACCATAACCACCAGCTCCAGTGCCAGCATCTGCACCACTGTGCTCAAGCGCGACAAAGCGGCCAATGCGCAACAGCAGGAGCAGCAGGAGCAGCACTCATCGTTGCAATCGGGCTGCCCCAATTCCATCACCTTCTTCAGCTCCAACAACAAGAGCAACAACGGCGTGACCTTCCGGAACCTGGAGAAAACTGGCAGCGAAGGCGACACCAGCCTGATCAGCAAGTGCAACGGACACTATCAGCTGGAGCAGGCCGAGGATCTGATGCTGGCTGTGTCCAGCGCAGTGCCCTTGTGCGGCATGGGCGATGGCCTGGGCGTGGGCGTGGCAGCTGGTGCCGCCACGGCACCGAGGGTGCAACTGATCGAGTAGCTCGCCGACACGTGGCCAAGTGTTGGTTTCTTTAATTTACATTATTTTTATATGCATATGTATGTACATAATTTGTATGCGAATATTTATACAGCCAGAGGAACAGCAGGTGGACGACTCTGCCCAGCGGCAGTCCCCTCCCACACAGAACATTGTAAAGTAATTGAATTGTCTGTGCGTGCATTAAATAAAATGCGTTTGCATATTCGAAAAGCATAAACAAAAGCCGCATTAACCTATTGGCCTTGGCGTGCTCCAAAGGCCACCTGGAGCGCCGTTTAGATTGGGGATTAGCTGCTGCCTAGGTTCTGGGGGCCAAGCTGACATGCGCCAAAGTATAATTTGTAGCTGAAAGGCAGTAAAACAGGGTATGAAAGAGTTTGGTTCGCTTTACATGCCATATTATTTGATAATACTCGGGCCATTTCACGTTCTTGACAATTGCTAGAGGTGGACTGCCTGCGATAGGCCTGCGAATTGATCCACATTTTGACAGTTTATGGCGATTACACGCACGAAATGTGCTGTTATATTTATGTACATACTGACAAACATCCTCTACACATTTTATTATATGTCATTCATTGCTTTTTTTGCTTTGATACAGTCACAATTTGATCTACTTTTATAAACAATCAATACTCAACAGCGCTATACAGCAAGTTTACAAATCGGGCAGTTTTTACACACATACGTACATATCTGCAAGTGCTCGTGCAAAATGGCCAAATCTAGAAATGGTATATCAATGGACGGCTTTAAAGACGTAAGTTGAAACCAATTTTAATAATATCTAAAGCTCAACACAAACAGACGGGCTTAAGGGATTTGCGCAGTTGATTCTGCGAATGGCAAGCCCCACAGCAACTTGTAGAATATTTCCTTAAATAGAAAGAGAACAGAGAGAGAGAGAGAGAGAGAGAGAGAGAGAGAGAAAGAGAGAGAGAGAGAGAGAGAGAGAGAGAGAGAGAGAGAGAGAGAGAGAGAAAGAGAGAGAGAGAGAGAAAGTTGGTCTTTGTAGCTGCCGCCTGTCAATTCCTTGTGAATTTCGCCCTCTGGATATATGAATATTAGCTGTTCTTTAATATGAGTGTCACGTCATGATGAAATTTCAAAGAGCGCCTCGACTGACAACAAGGCAATCAGCTCGAGCCTGGCCTTGAAAAACTTTTAGCCTTGTGTTTAGGGAAAGAGATACGGGAGAGGAGAGGAGAGCTAAGAGCCGAGCTGCTTTGGCTATTTCAACATTGAGTTAAGAGTGACTTTTCTTTGGTATTCACACAACATTGTGTCGATAATTTGTTTGTGCAAGCAACTACTACATTTTACTTCCAACACACACACACACACACGCATTCGTGGCTTAAATCAAAAGTTCTTTCCGTCATCGTCAAGGCCCCTGGCAAAAGACACAGCTCCATCTAGCGGTGAGTGGCGGCGCTGGCAGCGGGGTCGGCGGCTGTTGAGAGGCTCTTGAGGCGCATCACGAAGACAGGCATCAGCGTGTACAGACATGCACAAGCAGGCAACGACAAGCAGCGCGACAGTCATGTTCAAGTAAATAAGTGCAGGCTGTTATCAGAGCGTGCTGCGTGCTTTTTATCTGCCTCGCCGACCTCGTTCGCTTGGTAATTATCGATTTTTTTATACACAACACAGGGTTGACTGTTACTGTTCGTTGTTGTTGTTGTTGCTGTTGTCGTTTTTGTTGTTGCTGATGTTCTTTCATGTTTCAAATTTGTAAGCAGCTCCCCGTGAAACAACAATTAAGCAGCTGTTGCCCATTGCCAGCATAACCTGTGGGCCTGTTCTTCAATTATTGATAACAAATTGCGGCATCGAATATCACAAAGCAAATGCCAAACGCCAGATACATTTATTATCTACAATGTAGCCTCTGTGAGAGTGTGTGTGTGTGTGTGTGTGTGCGTGGGCTTCGAGTGGGTAGGTGTGTCTGTATTGGTGCGTGTATTTGTTCAATTATGCACAGAAGTTGTAAATTTCTCAATCAAAATGTTGGCTATTTCAAAGTTTTCGGCTATTTGGGCAAGAATAGGCTTGTAGCGAAATTTGTAGGTGTGAGTGTGTAGAGCCTGAAGCTTTCATTCAGCCAATAACTGCCCATAAAGCGCGCTAATTGGGCATAGATAAATTCTTATTGATGCCTGTTGGAGGCTTGTTTTAAATTGGAAAATATATCGACAGTGCTTCGATAACATTTAATGTTAACCACTTTGCTGTTTAATATTTAAAGGGTTTCTGCAGCAGCAGCAGCAGTTAAAATTTTTAATAATTTAAAAAGGCTATAAAATAATATGTATAACCACTCATACACATATACATACATACATTAATATGTAAACATTGTATGCATGAACATACATATAGTATTTATATACAATCCTGCGCTTCAAAACGTACTTAAAAATACCAAAAACTAGCTATTTCTTTAAAGCCTTGCTGACTGCACAGCAAACTTAACATTCTTCGCCATTTGAGACTGCTCCTCAATCAATCAATTTAAAAAGTTGAGATGGTCTTGTAATCCATCATTATGTGAAATGATATCACTGCGAGAGTTGTCTATGGGCAAAAGAGTTTCAATTTGACGTCATCTGAAGGACACGAAATACATACATACATAGAGGAAGTGTGGAAGTTTAAACAGATTTAGTTTTTAGTTAGCCTTCACCTATTGCTATTGCTGCTGCTATTGTTATTGTGTGTGTGCGTGTGTGTGTGCAACCAGGTGGCAGTGGCAGCCATCAAGCCACAACAATGCAATAAAATCATTTACTGCGTGCATTTGGCATTGACAACTTTCGCCGTCCAACTGCAACTGGCCAAACAAACAAACGAAGAAGAACTAAATAAAAGCTGATAACAAAACACGGCGAGTTCTCGGTCTGCCTCTGCCCCTTATCGTTGTTGACATGTCCAGCATGGGAGTGCGTATGTGTGTGTGTTTAGCATGTAATATACACATACACATGCATACACATATTTATATGTACATAAGTAATGAGTGCCATGCGGCGTATACTTATTGTTACGGGCAATGCAAATGCACTTACTGTGACTTAGTCTTGAGGTTCTTGCGGTTATTCTTTCCTCACTCTGTCTCCTTCTATCTTTGTTGTTGCAGCTGCTGCTGGCTGTATGTGTAAGGATGTGTGTGTGTGTGTGTGTGTGTGTGTGGGAGAGGGCTCGTATTGCGCCGGATGCCTGCGGATCCTGGGGTAATTCCTTAAGTGCTGCGACTGTTCCTTCTGACCAACTGCTGTCGCTGCTGCTGCGGTTGTTGTTGTTGATATTTGTTGACGTATGCGTGTGCTTGTGTGTGCGTGGGTGTAAGCGCTTTTCTGTTATTTTTCACACATATACACAAATCGATATTGCGACTGCGAGTTTGCTTTTTCGCTCTAATTTCTGCTTTTTCTTTTGTAATTTTCGTTTTTTTTTTTTTTTTTGTGGTATTGGCTTTGGGGTCTGTGGCGTGCAGCACGGGTAAAATTTAGCCTTGGCACTGGGCTCGAGTTACCACTGCCTGCTGCCTGCTGTTAGAAATTTTTGCGCTTTTTTGTTTACGACTGCGATTATTCAATCAATTATTCAGCGTTTTACGCGCGTTCGTCTCGCCCGATACAAGTGAATTATTCATTTAGTTGCAGGCGTCAGGTAAAGTGTTTCTTCTATTTTTTTTTTTTTTTCTTTTTTCTCAACTGATTTTCACCTTTTTTCCTGTGTGCCTCGTTAGAATTTGCTGTCGCTCTGTTGTACACGTCGTTACAGGACCACGAATGAGGCAGAAATTTTCCTGCTGCTACGCATGTGTCTCTGTTTGAGTGTGTGTATGTATGTGTGTGTGTGTGTGCGGCGAATTGACTAGCGCGGCGAATATAAGCGTTTTGTATACGTTCTCATCATTTGAACTGTTTCAATCGTCCAGCTGCTGTTTCTTTCTGCTCCAGTGGTGAAAATCGATGCCTGACGGGTTATATGTGTGGGCGAGCGAAAGCTTTCGAGCTTTCCATTCATGCGGCGCAATTGCGCACTGCGCGGTGAATAGCAAACATTAGCCAGCACTGTACGTAGATATCGATAGCCCCAGCAATGCGCGCAAAGTTTGAATATTTGTTTATTTTAACTTAATCTTATCACAAAATGTGTAATTGATTTATGTCTTCATGACCAGCTCGTATTCTGATTAATTTATAACCCCAAATGCAATCAAAATTCACGTTTATGCAGGTTAAAGTTTGGAGAAAAATCGTATTGCACATATAAACATTTTAATTATTAACAAATCAACAATACAATAAAAATCCCGCTACAGTTTACTATTGCCAGCAAGCACATCACGCACTACCTGCACCGCATATTTGGCGGTGCCCGGTGCGGTAGTGACGCCATAGCCGCCGTGTCCATAATTGTGCACCACCCTCAGGCGACGGCCCTGAGCATTCGTCAGCAGCTCCGGCTCCACGCGCACCACCGATCGGTGCGGACGTAGGCCCACACATTCGCGTACAATTTCCGCCTTCTTCAAGCTGGGCAACAGATCATAACAACGCTCCTTAATAGCCATGCTATCGTACTTGCACCACTCCGTGTTGTAGCTGTCGTACTGCCGGCAACCACCCAATGTCACAGTCTCAAAGCCGGGCAGCACATAGGTATCGAAATCTCCATAGAAAGCCGTCTTAATCCAGGGCGCGCGCACCTTCAGCACCTGTCCGCGAATCGGCACCAAATGCGGATCATTGCACAGCTCCTTGGCGCCCATCCCAGTGCAGTTGAGCAGCACATCTATGTCCTGGGGCACATCGAACAAGCTGCTCACATGCTGACGCAGTACTCGGCCGCCCTTTGACAGGAATCTAAACAAAAATTTTATGTAATTAAGGCTAACTATAGATTTTAGATTTAAATCAAATTTACTTCTGGGTGGCATAGGGCAAGAAGAGACGACTCTCCGTTAGGCAGGTGGTAAAGAAGGAGCCATACTTCCAGCCGCCCTGGCACAGCTTCAGCTCCTCCTCTGTTGCACGTCGATAAATGGGCAACAGTTGCTCTATAAAGTGATTCTAGATAATCAAACAGTAAACATCATTTGTAGCAATCAAATTATGTGATAAGAATACTTGATTAGGGCCCGGGACAGTCAGCCCAGCCGTAGGCTTACCCGCACAATGGAAGGTGTGGTGCGAGAGTATATGTAGCCGGACAGTTGACAGACGCCAGCTATAGCTGATTCTGAGGAGCGACGCAGGTCATCCCAGTAGTTGAATGCATCCCGCATCCATTGTCTGCAATGAAAGAGTATTCACTTGTATATTGAAGTCAATTAACTTGACCTTGCTCTGTCCCTTACTGTGTAATCTCCTGGGTGGGGCCCATGAAGCTGGTGCCCGGCCGAAAGATGCCCGCAGCCACATAGCTGACTGTGTCCTCATTGAAGCGATCCGCTATGATCGACACCTGTGCCGTAGGGAACTGCTGCTGCAGCTCCAAGGCGCTGGTTAGACCGATAATTCCACTTCCCAATACGCCGAAATGCATTGTAGTCAAGTTGTCGTTGATATGGCCGAAAGTAATGCAAGCCACCTACTGAGCAGCTCAGCAACTGCTGCGCGTGTATTTAAATGTAACTCATAGAAGCTTTATCAGTAAGTCCAATAAATAGCAAACCCCTGATAGCAGTCAGATTACAGGTATGCACATTCTTGTAGCCACCACTGTACATTGGAAGAGTTTACATTTACCGGCAATAACATAATATGCTATCATGTTATATATAAGAGCTGCTGCAGAACTCATTTATGTTATTTGAAGACCAGCTTCCCTGCATGTGCAGCTAATTCAACAACTGATTTATTTATTTTAGTTGCATTGGGCGTTTATGTTTGATTTTATTATAATCAGCTGTTTGCAAGTACTCAATCTACATGAGTACTTTTTTTTTGTACTAAAATGCACTAAAATACCGATAAATACCAAAAACTATAACTTGGAGTTTTCCAAATGTTCACTTGCAATACATTCGAATAACGAATAAGTGGTGGGAGAATTAAATTCACTTTTTATTTAATTTAAATATATTTGACTATTTTAATATAAACTAATAAAAAAAAAAATAAACATCTTCCTACGCAATTAACAGCAATAAGGAAAGCATATTATGAGTAGCTCGACAACAGCTGTGCAAAATCACCTATCGATATAATAACCGATACAATTTAATACCAACAAATATCCAAATATCAATAACAACATGCCAGGTATATTTTGATGTGCGTCTCACGTCACAGTTCGTAAGGTAGAAGACACTTTGGCTAGAATATTTAAATTTTGATCGAGAAGTTGGCAATGTAATATATATACTACATACATTTGTAAATCAAAATTGTGCACCACAGGAAATAAATTAAACAGCATAGCAGGTCAAGGAATTAGCGGTTTGACGTTCCCAGCGAACACTGTGAACAATTGGAAGCACATCGAGCAAAGTGCAACTGCCATCAAACAACAAGGAATATGTCATCGATGTCGCCCAGTGAGGTGAGTGGCTTCCTTGCATTCGATTTGATCCCATCCCAGCTGTTGTCCAGCAATTGGCAGCTGCTCAGCGTCCAACAGCAACAATGAAAATGTAGAAAAAAGCGTGCGCAAAAACAGTTGTGCAAATGTTTGTTGTCAGCTGCTACTGCCGCTCGCAACCGCAGCCCAAGCCACTGCCGGCAGCAATTTTCAATATTGGACAGGTTCAACGTCATCTTATCGCTGCGACGACCCTTGCAGAGGCTGTGTCGACATTATCAGCAGGGTTTCACCTGCCCAAGGAGGAAGTCGCTAGCCGCTCGCATATTATATAACAAATTGAATGACGCTTCTTTGTCTGTGCATCCATCAATACTTTCTCCTCTCAATAGCCTTGCGGTTTGCCAAGGTCTCGCTCTGCTGTTTCTCTCATTAGCTGACCTGACCCCCAGCCGGCCAGGCGAAGAGTGAGCATATATGAATCGACAGCATCGGTTGTTTATGCAACCAAATTGCAATGTACATAGTTGTAACTGTAAATGCACTCCGTTTGTTTATAGCGGCGTCCGTGTGTGGCGCTTTTTGTTTACGCCGCGTAAACAAGCCTTGAAACGCCAGCGCCATCTATCGATCCTGTGCTGCGGTCTGTTCTCAGTTCATTGCTGTCTCCCTTCCACCTCCTCCGCCTCCTTTTTTCTTAATACTCAGCACTCTGCTCTGTCTGCCCTTATATCTAGCGTCTCTGCCGACAAAGTCGCTCACTCAATACGAAAAGCTCGTCGCGTACGCGCACTTCGCCCGCTTTTCGTTTTTCGGATTCGCCGTCCAATTCATTCAGTTCTCGTTGACACGCGAGTTCGCACGCGCTGATTTGCATTACACTCGATTCTGTGGCGTTCGGTTTGGTTCTGCTCCGGCAAATCGCGTATTCAAGCAAAGGTTTACACGATTTGCATGCACTGTGCGAAAATCAGCTTTTAATTATCGATTTAATTATCGGTTTTAAACGAGACGCGATGCTCAGCTAATTAATCGGCTAGTCCGTTAATTGCCTTGGCACGCGCCAAGACTTTGTTCTTTTCTTTTGTGTAACATATTTAAAGAGATTCCTTTTTTTTTCATCTTGGCCACACGCATATCGGTTCACACATATTTTTGTTTGCTAAAATCTGCTTAGTTTCTTGGCACGCTTTCAAAATACAAAGTTAACAAAATGCACAAGAATTTTTCGGTTGATTTCCACACTTCCACTTTCAAGCGTATATGTATGTATATGTACATATAAATTAATATAAATTTTATAGCTGACCAAAAGCAGTTTTATATAGATACATATGTATCTACTTGATTATGTGCATATATGTATATATTTAGTAGATGTGTATAGGTCCATGAGAACCAGTTTGTTCATATTTGATATGCAAGCTCTGTCACTGCTATATAGGCTGTGCTCAGCATTGATTCCATGTCGCGAGAACTTTTAGCGAACAGGTTCCAAAGTACTCCAAAGGCTGCGTATTCAAATTTGGTTTGCTATTTGTTATTTTTGGTCGATCTGCGGCTGATCCAATATGCAATACGCAGATAGAACACAAAGACTTTCCATATTATACAAAAACAAAAAAAAATTAAATAAAGCACTGTACTTCCTTATAGGCAAGCTGAAACAAAGCCGCGATTAATCATTGTGCCCAATGAAAAAGTCATTCAATGATTATTTCTTGAACTTACATATGCCTTTATAAATATATATGTATATATTTATAATTATAAGCGACACACACCTGATTCGATTAAAGAGATAAGCCTATTTATTTGTATTTAATTTATTTCGCCTGCGCAATTTAATTAACGTTAAGCAAACACTTTAATCCGCTTATCTTTTGTCACATGCAAATAGTGAATATCCAGAGCTGTGGCTTATATCGCCGCTCCACTGTACCACTTGCAGTACTGTACTCCTCAGGCGCCATTTATCAAGTGACCGCAAATGAATTGTCATCAATTAAAGCGCATTGTTCGCCAATTGCAGTGATTTTCGCAACGGGCCGTGATATCAATTATCATTTATAGCATTAAAACTCAATTGAATTGCCTGTCGCCAGTCACACTTTGCGCTGATTACGATGCCTCCTCGTGGCTGTTATTATTGCCACGATCCCAGAAGTAGACTTACATGATTTGCAATTGAGAGCTCAGCTGATTTCCTCATGCACTTTAGAGGCTGTCAACTCAGCTCCTAAAGATTTACATACTGAAATAATTAGTGTCATTGTAATGCCGAATGCTAGTTTACAATGAGGCTTAGCGCAGCCAGACTTTGGGATTTTTCAGTTGGGTTTCAGTTTACATTATTAACATTAAACCAGATTTACTTAAGATTAGAAACACGTAAAAGTCGTTACTTTGCCAAAATATCCCCATTTACAGAAAACCTAAATTAAAGCAAAACAATAAATATTACATATTTTATATTCAAACTTCACTATATAAGAAATTCATATTCATAATCAATTAAACAAATCCTGGAATCCTGATAAACTTAATGACAATTTGAAACTTTAGGAAAAAACCATTCCAAGTGGAACTTCTTGTTTACATCTAGAGATCAATTTACAATGAAGTCTATCATGTCTCATTTAACAAGTTTTGAATCAACTTTTGACGTTGCCAGTTCGCTAAAAGACCAAGTCAAATTAAAGCAGAGCTCACTATGAAACTTTCCGAATATGCAATATGAAGTCCATTCATCATCAACTTACAGCAAAGTCTATCGCAGCTAGCTGAACAGCTGTTGTTTTAGACTCTCATGTATATATACTGTAGATCCATAGCTGTAATATCATCTGTTTAGCCATTATGGTTATTGCCTTTTCACATGCACACTTCACGTGTTGTCGCTGAGGACACGTTTCCACGCGACTCATGATTAGTTTTCGATTACATTTAAAAGGTTTGAGCACATGAACATGTGGAATCAATGGGGGCAAGCAAGATGAGCTGTCTCAGCTGTTAATCATACGGCACGTACGTGATGTACGCCTTTCCCTCATTACAAAACTGGCTCGCTCTCCCTCTCTCATTGGCTCTGGCATCAGGTTTTCTTTTTTTGGTTGCTTAGGTTATTTATACCCTGCAACAGTCAACGAACAAGAACAATGCAAAATATTAACTAGCAAAACTCTGACGTCACAAACAAGTGACGTAGCAGAAGCTGTATATATATAGCAATCTCTCTCTCTCTCTCTCTCTCTCTTTACAGCTATATTAAGTACGTACTTTATTCTTATCGATTGGGAGAAGAGCAAAGCTTTTGGCGAAGGTCGAAATTGTTGATTTAGCAATTGCAAGTTTAAGGTTATGTTGCACGCTCTTCCGCCTGTCGCATTCGGTCCGCACACGCCCCACCGCCCTGCCTTCCTCCTACCGTAGCTGCCACGCCCAGCTAGCTGCTATTTTTGCACATTCTGTTGTCGCTTGTAATGCGCTTAAGAGCGTCGTCTCTTGCAGTCAGGAAATCGTTTTATATGGCTTTTGGCGCATGCGAACGTTGCATAATGTGGGGCGTGATTCAGTGGCGAAGGTCGCCCTGGGGGCCCCAAAAATATCGCCAGACTGCTGGGCCAACGGTGCTTAATTGGCCAAGCAAACAGAAAACAGAAAACAGCTAAGAGCAAAGAGCATTCGAAACGTCTGTTAGGCCAACATGACTCACAAAACTGTCACGCTCTCGCTCTCACTGTCTCTTCCTCTTTCTCTTTCCCTCTTTATCTATTATGATCCGCTTGGCCTTCACAGCAGCAGCAGCAGCAGCCGTCGCAAATGCTGCCAGCTCATATCATGGGCCACCGTCCATTGGCCATTCAACGCCCACTTGGTATTTATGTCGCATCTTTATCAGCTGCTTTTATCAAGTTTATCAGCCTTTCGCTGCTGCTGCTTCTTTACAATCTTTATAGACATTTCTGTTATTGTTTACCCGAAAATTCGGACGAAAATCGCTGACAAAGAAACTGCGTGTTGTTTACCTCTGACTCTGTTTACTCATCTATGCTTAATGCGTTTAACCAAAATCTCGCAATGTTTTCCCCAGTTTTTTCCGTTCTCAGAGCTCTTTTATCAAAAATTGTTTTTTAATGAGTGCGCAAAAAGAGATCCGAAAAGAATTACGAAAAGAAAGTGTAGTCTAGTCAAATGCCAGAAAGCAGTGAGCGAAATCTGAAAGTTAGAAGAGGCAAGCATTAGGTAAAAACTGAAATAAAGCTAAGAATTACTGAAACTTTCATCTAGATTTCATAGAGATTTCGTTATTTGCTTACTGAAATAAATACTTCCTACTTGCCTATTATTTATATTACTTTTTTAGGTCAAGTCGGTAGTCGCTACTTTCCTAAACAGATTTCCTATGAATTCGATAATCGATAGTTCCCCTAATATCAGTTTAGACTCTATTTATAGATCATCGTTACAAAGTCTACTGTCTTTCTGCTTCATCTTCTAACTAGAAAGAGATATGAATCCATTTACAGATCAACTCCATGGTCGGGTATATGCCTAGGTTCTTCATTCTATTTACAGCCCGATTCGATAGTCAATAAACATAAAAGAAAACAATTTGATTTTTGAATATTTTTCCTAGCAGGAGGCCATTGCCTTTAGGCGCTTGACAACCAGACAGCCAGCTGAGCAGCTAGATGAAAATTAGAATAGAGATGTACATATAGAATATAGATGTATATACATACATATATATGTATATTTAGTGCGGCAATAAACAATTCTTGACACACATCGTCAATTGAGGAGCGTATATACTACAAAGTACAGTGAAGCTAGCAATGGGAATGAAACCGAAAAATTAGTTAGACTTTGTCTAGTACAGGCCTGCATAGCCTGTAGTTTGAGTAGGGCTGAGTTATTGTTAAATAATATATATATATTATATAGGTAATTAGTTAAACCTTCATGTTTAGCTATCGCTTAATAGATTGCAGTTGCATTGAATTTTCGTATTACGTATACTTTAATGAGTTGCGCTAAATAGTTTATTAACGAGCTGGACGCATATACCCGCACTTTCCTATTACATAAGCCATTATAGAGAGAGAGAGAGTGCGGGAGAGAGAGAGAGAGAGAGAGAGAGGACGGGTGTGCGAGTGAGTGAGCTCATGCATTTGATTGATTTGATGATTCTCGCACGTTTGCAATTCGTATTGCAGTTTCAAAACATTTTGCAATTTCATCGAACTGCAATAAATTGGCAATTGACGTCGCTGACTGAAGTTCATTTTGTTGGCCAACAAACTTTGGCTGTGGCTGTGGCTGTGGCTGCGTTTTGGCCTTCATTTTTGTGGTATTGCCAAATATTATTATTATTTTTTCTTCTTCTGTTATTTGCTGCTTTATGGCTAGGCTATAAATCGCACATATTCACACATATATTGTCTATATTTATATGGTATATAGTTTGTATATATTCGTGTACTCAGCAATCTTATCAGCTGTTTATCAGGCAGCCTGAGCGTGCCAATTGGCGCTCTGCGCGAATCGAAACGCGGAGCGTGAAGGGCAACCCAGAAAGCCGAGCTCTGCTTGCATTTACAGCGTCTCAGCTCGCTCGCTCCCAGATGCTGCACAAGTAAATCTTGAGAATTGTACACCTATTCAGAGGTGTATATACGAAGAGACATATCTCTAAACGAGTTTTCAGTCCGTCCGTCTGTGGTCGCCCATAAAGTGCCCGCGCTGATAGTGCATAAAAAAATAAATAAATAAAAAAAGATAAAGCTATAAATTGGTAAAACTTGAATAGTCTGTTGCAGCGACTAGGGAATGCCCTTAGATGCTAGACTTTGCTGCGGGAATGCCCCTTATAAAAGCCAGAGCAGCTCCAATTAATTTTTACTTTGGTTTGCATAAAATTTTAATATATTTTAGAAGCATTTTTTATTTAATTTTATAATTTTAATTATATATAAAATATATAAATATATGTATATTTTTTTGGGAATTGTAGTAAATATAATAAATAATTTTTAGCCCGAAAATATTTTTTTATAAATTTTTATTAAATTTTGCTGAGCCTTAAAAATATATACATAAACAATAAAAAAAAACAATTTCTATCAAACTAAATTTTTTATAAAAAAAAAACAAAAATTAAATTATATTTTAAATAAATTAACTTAAATATAAACAAAAATATTTAGTGAAAAATAATATAAATATATATAATAATAAAAATAATAATATAAATAATAATAATAATATAAATATTAAAAATAATATAAATATTGATAATAATTTAAATAATAATATAAATATTAATAATAATATAAATAATAATATAAATATTAAAAATAATATAAATATTAAAAATAATATAAAAATTAATAATAATATAAATAATACAAATACTAATAATAATAAAAACTGTAAATCATATATTTATTTGTATGATATTTAATTTTATTTAGTTTTATGATATCCTTAAGCCTGGCTTGATTAAATTAGGAAAAATATTTGCCATGTTGTGCGGGATATAAATATAGCTCAACAGCCATAACATATATGGCTGATTATGGTTCTATTTATATCTCAATTCTTGCAACATTGTCCTGCTCTGTTTTTATGGCGTCTGGCACTCCCCTGACTCAGTGTGGTTAGGGTATCAGGAACATGCACTACGTACGCATACTGAGGCGCGTTGACGTTGACGTTGACGATGACGATGACAAGCTCGGCCGGCAGAGTTGGCGCTGTCGACGTCTCGTCTCGGCCAGCTGGTTGGGGCGGGTCGTCGGGTGGGGTTGGCGCTTTGTGGGTTTGTGTTGGGGAGAATCGGGTTGGGCCGAGAGCTATCACTGTCTGAGTGTGTGTGTGTGTGTGTGTTGCTTTGCTTTTGAGTAAATTTCTCGACGCTTTTGCCACAGTCAGAGACGAAACGTTGGCGCATTTAGCTGTGGTTGTGGCCGTGTCTTTGCGAACTTGGTGCGTTTAGTGAAATTGAAATTGAAATCGTTGGCTAAAATGCGGCTCTTGCTGCTGCTCACTGAGTGTGTTTATAAATTGTGCTGGGCCCTGGGCGAACGTAACATAGTTGCCTATTGAAAAAAAAAAAAAACCGAGAAATATAAAGCAAACCGAGGCAAGAAATTCATTTTTGGTTGAGATTTCAGTCTAAAACACAGCAACATTTCGTGCGGTTCAACGAAATAGTTAAATATATTCGTTTTAAATATATCAGAAAATATAAAGCTGCAAAGCTCGGAAAGTGTTTTTTCCTGTAATAATCGAGTGTGATCGATCCGTCGAGTTGCGCGTCCATCGAAATGCTAAAGCTATTCAAAAAATCCAAAGACAAAATTCCCAAATCGGAGATCATCAACGAGCCGAAGGAGCCCCAAAAGCCGGCCGTCTCCAAATGCGGCAAGCCCCTGCTGCTGGACAACTCGCGCTGGGAGGCAAGTAGAACAAATAGAGGCTAGACCAAAGCCAGTCGAACTTTGTGCACTGACTCGGCCTTGAGGCGCTGCGGACTTATCGGGCATATAGCGCCGTATCTAAATGGAATTATGGTCTTACTATGGGATTTACACTTTCATAAGTTTTATTTTTTTTATTTTTGCTTATGACAAGTTTAGATTGAAAAGTTTTTCTCTGTGTGTGTGCCAAAAAGAAAAGAACAGCTGCGTATAATCAAGGGTATTTCTGCATTAGATTTTATACATACGTATATATCTATTTATATGCACAGTTACTTGTTCAGTTTTATAGTGCATTAGCCAGACCAATTGGCCAAATTGCGTCATTAGAGTTTTTCCTGGAACACGGGCAAAGAGTCATCGCCTCTATAGTTAAATTCGCATAGGGTAAGCCCAGCTAACTGAGTCAGTTTGCAGCATTTGTCCAAGCATTTAAAATTTACCTTAGTCTTCCTTTTGTTCCATTACATAGAACAGCTGTACTCAAGTTGCTTATATCTTATCGAGCGAAAGCTTGGAGATATTTATATAAATATTTATGACTGATTATTGTGCAAACAAAATTAGAAAATTAATTTTTGTCGTATCGCAAAACAACAAAACAATCGACAGTTTTAAGTCAGCTAAAAATCATTGCACAAGCCATTTTGTTTTTATCTTATCTAAATAGCTATCTATATATACACACACACTCATATATATGTACACATAAGTCAGGTAGATTGAATATTTGTAAGCCCAAAGGAAATGTTTAAGCGATAAGGTCTGCATTCCTATATATATGTACATAATATATGTCATATATAAAGGTTAACAGAACACGCGATATATGTAGACAGCATTAAAGGGTATAAATGGGTAGAGAGAAAGAGAGAGCGAGCGAGATAGGGAGAGGGCAACTTAAGCTTTAAATTAATTTCCCTTTTGGTCTTTTGCTCTTTACAGCGTCGTTTGCATAAAGAACTGATGTCCCTGATCAAGGAGCCGCCGCCAGGTGTGACTGTTGACACCGAAAGCGTACAGCAAAATTTATCAGAGTAAGTCACACACACACGCACACACGCGCACACTCAGCAAATCTCCGAATTCCGCAACTAGGCCAAGTTCAGTTAGCCAGCAATAAGCAACGAGCATAAACTGGTTAATTAAATTTGGCAATTTAGCGCGTTTTTAACAATGAGCTCAATTGTATTTCATAAATATCACTGCTGACTTTTTACGAGCTATACTCACTAATATAATGCTGTTATTGTTTTAATTATAGATGGAAAATAAATATTAAGGGCTTCGAGGGCACGCTTTACGAGGGCGAGGACTTTCAGCTGCTGTTTAAATTCAATAATAAATATCCCTTTGACTCGCCTGAGGTAAGTTGTATATGTATATATGTAAGTAATATATGTATGCTAATCTATGATCTGTGCGCTCACACAGGTAACATTCATTGGTAGCAATATACCTGTGCATCCGCACGTCTACAGCAATGGTCATATCTGTCTGTCCATCTTGACCGAGGACTGGTCGCCGGCATTGTCGGTGCAATCGGTGTGCCTTAGCATAGCCTCCATGTTGAGCAGCTGCCGCGAGAAGAAGCGGCCGCCGGACAATACGCTCTACGTGAAGACATGCAACAAGAATCCCAAAAAGACTAAATGGTGGTATCACGGTGCGTATGCGTGCTCATTTGGATACATTGTATTTAGCGCAGCTGACTAAATAATCTCTCTCTCTCTCTCTATTTACTTGCAGATGATTCTGTTTAGTTAGCGTTGCGATTTATGACTACTGCCTGCTGCTTGCATTGCGCATACACTACAACAAAAACAAACGCGAAATGCAAAATCCAAACTCAACAACAACAACAACAACAATACGATACAATACACATCACAAATATGAGCAGAGCTAAGTAAGAAACCAATTTGTTGCCAGCCTGCCTGCTCTAGGACATTGCTAACAACTTGTTTTGGAACAAGAAGAACAACAAGAAGCAACAACAACAATAGCAATAGCCATAACAATAACAACAATCAATAATTAGTCAACTAAAATCAATAATAGTTTAGCAACAATCAAGAACCATTTGGAACTGCACTTTCTTTAAGGCCTAGGCACGTTAGGTGTAAATTAGCTGTGACATATTATTATAACACATTGTTAAATGCGAAAAAAAAAACATCGTTTACATACAAACATTCATATACATCCAAAACCAAGCAGTGCACTTTGAGAGCAAAACAAAATGAGCCCAAAGAGATGTCGCTGGGCAGCAATGAATTAGTGAAATATGTATGCAATAGTATATATATATCTATATATTACGACAAAAAGAAAAATACCTTACAGCAAACAATCAAGAGACACCGACGCGAGCAAGAATTATTACTGAATGTATAATATATATATATATACGTATATTTAAATCATCTATATATATATATTATATATATTTATAACATGAAAACAACTGTATAAAATTAAAACAAACAAAAATAATGCTATATATAATTATATGTTAACATTTTAAATTAGAACGTAAGGCGCAAAATTAACGTCTAAATTAAATTAATTGTTATGGAACCCTTATAAACTAAGCCTATTCTGTAAAATTAATCGTACGCCCGCCTCATGCCCATCATCGCATCTTCCGCACAGGCTGTGACAGCTGCTGCCCACATTCCAAGTCAAGCCCAAGCAGCTGCTCGGACTGAGCAGGCCAACCCCATTTAATCTATAACTCTTATTTATGTATATGTATACTATGATTTTGTATTTGTATTTCCAAATGTTGTCGACAAAAAAAAAAAAAAAGAAAAATCATGTGAAATGTAATAATTCATCCAATATTATTTTGTCATTGTCATTGTAATGTTTAACCATGTATCATCGCATCGCATCATAATAATAATTCCTAAACAATCTACATATATATTTTTGGCAAAGATGTTAACCCAAATGTGGCCAAAATCTCTCATGTGGCACGTTCGCAAACATATTTACCTCTTGCTGTGCAACTAGAATATGTAAATGTGGCGAGCAACTCGCTCACACATACATGATAATTTTATGTGTAAAAACTATGTATAAATTCTATTATATAAACTTATATTATGTAAAACGCGTGTCAGTGTATGTCTATGACTATACCTAGCATATGTATGTATCTACGCCTATAAAAGAATTACTGTTAAAACAAGTATTTAATTATAAACCCAAGTCTGTAATCACGTAATGTTGTTTTGATCGGGTTCGATGGCCTTCCCTAGTTGCAAGCATTTGAATGTAATAAGTGTTGGCGGTTTGTTGAACAGCTTAGCCAGTGTTGGGCTCATCTCCAATTCCAATGAATGTTATACTCATTATGGCACTATAAGGTACTGTAAAAATAGGAAAAGATGATGGAGCCTTGACTAGTTTCACATTATGTAGATAATTTATCAAATTAATTTGTAAACTTTGAAAAACACTTATTTGATTATTTCCATTTCTTTAAAGAAATTGGGTTATTTTCGTTTAAATATAATAGTATATGTAAAAAAAAAAAAAGAAGTATAAAACTAAACAAATTATGGAACAAATTGCAAGTTATTTTCGCTTTGTAATCATAATTAATAAATAGCTAATTTATTTATTTTATAAAATTATTTTATACGTTTTATTTTTAGTTCTATAAAAATTAGGCTTTTTGTGTAGCAAGCTTTGGCACTCTGTTGGCGAAAAAACCTAATAAATATCACGTATTTATTAACAATACTTCATATGCCAACAAACAGAAATATGTTAACTACTAATGTTAACTAACATTAATATTAATATCTTAGAAACATTAATTAATGATGTTAATGGTATATGTTAACGTACATTATTATGTTAACAAACTGCTAACATGGCCAACATTATTATGTTAACTTAAAGTTAACTTACATTACTATATCCATCCACTGTTAACTAACAGTGCTGCCCTCTAGAGTATGCAGTGGAAATGCACTTTTCGATATCTCATCACAAAAGTATGCAACAGTTTTATGGCAAATTTCTGTAGCTACTCCCGCTGCCCTCGGGAATATGCAAGAAAAACACATTTTTGACATTACAGCACAAAAGTATGCAACAGTTTTATGGCAATTTTCTGTAGCTACTCCCGCTGCCCTTAGATATATGCAAGAAAAACACATTTTTGACATTCCAGCATAAAATTATGCAACATATTTAATTATCATTCGGTTGGTTGTGAGCTTTGCTAATTTTCATTGCATTTAGCAAAGTTCACAACCAACAAATAAAAATGTTGCATAGATTTGTGCTGTAATGTCAAAAATGTGTTTTTCTTGCATATTTCCGAGGGCAGCGGGAGTAGCTACAGAAATTTGCTATAAAACTGTTGCATACTTTTGTG